CTTTCTCTCTCTCTTCTTCTTATGGAATTCCTACGATATAGATATTGTTCTGTTTGATTGTATCACTCAGTTCTCGAATTCTCCTTTTGTGCTCTTGGATCAATTTACCTCTCTTGTTCTCAGCTTCCTCTTTTTCTATAATTGTGTCTTCTAATTCACCTATTCTCCTCTCTGCCTCTTCAGTCCATGCAGTGGCTTCTTCCATTTTATTATGCACCTCACTTATAGCATTTTTTTCATTCATCACAACTATTTTTAAGGTCCATAGTCTTTGTAGCAATAGCTTCTCTGATGTCTTCCATGCTGTTTTTCAAGCCCAGCGATTAATTTTATGACTATTATTCTAAATTCTTCTTCAGTTATGTTGCCTGTATCTGTTTTGATCAATTCTTTAGCTGTCACTTCCTCCTGGAATTCCTTTTGAGAGGAGTTCTTCTGTTTCATCATTTTGGCTAGCTTTCTGTCTCTTGTAAATTTAAATGCTTGTTATGCATTCTGTGCCTACGAGTACTGGTATATTAAAGGAGGCCAATTGACTGTCCAGGGCCTGTTCGTTCAGGTAGTATTCTTTTAATGGTGTCTCTTGGTCTCGCTTTTGAGACTTTGGTTATTTTATTTCCATACTCATAGTGATATTTGGGACTCTCCACCATGTATACTTTGGCTTGTTTCTTGAGGTAGCTGTATGAAGCTATCTTTTTAGTGGACTCCGTCTCATTTCCTCCCAGCCTCTTGCGGTTCAGAGTCTTTTCGTTTCAGCCCTTCTTTGTTTCAAAGATTCAGGCAGGAGATACAGAACTCCCTACTTCTCCGCCATCTTGCCACCATCCCCCATCATAACTACTTTTCAGGTCCATAATCTTTGTAGCAATATTTTTAGCAATAGCGTCTCTTGTGTCTTCCATGCCTTTTTCAAGCCCAGTGATTAACTTTATGACTATTGTTCTAAATTTTTGTTCAGTTATGTTGTTTATATCTGTTTTGACCAATTCTTTAGCTGTCACTTCTTCCTGGAATTTCTTTACAGGACAGTTTTTCTGTTTCATCATTTTGGCAATTTTCTGTCTCATATGTTTTAAAAGCTTTGCATGTGCTCTGCACCTGCGAGTATTGCTATATGAAAGGAGTATCATAGACTCTCCAGGGCCTGTCCATTCAGGAAGTGTTCTTTTAATGGTGTCCCTTGGTCTCTCTTGTTTGCCTTTGATTATTTTACTTCCCTACTCGTAGTGATAGAGACTCTCCACCATGTGTACTTTGGCTTGTTTCTTGAGGTAGCCCTCGAAAGGAAAATAGACAAACAAACAGGAAACAAAAGCACGCAAATGCAGAAACAAATCAAACAAACAAGCAAACTGAAAAAAAACAAAACAACAAAAGACAAAGGATAGTCTAAAAGTATAAAACTAGAAATCCTAGCTACAATTAAAGAGCAGAGTGGAGGCAGTGGTGATGGTAGAGCATACACAAAGAGAGAAATGACAAGGGTGGGGAAAAAGAGAAATTGAACATTGACCAGGCAAAGAGACTAAAAGGCTTAATTCAGAGAGAGCAAAAGGAGAATACGGCAGGAGGTGAGGAGAAAAAAAAAAAAAAAAAGAAACGAAGATAATGTTACCCAGAGAAACTGTACAGTCTGATTATTTCAGAGAGAGAGAGAAAGGAAGGTAATGATGGAGGTGTAGAACAATTCATCAAGAGAATGGATTAAATATGCCTGTTTAAGCAAACCTATAACCAGAATACCCAGTCCAGAGGAGGGGAGAGATAAGAATGAGATAATGGAGAATATATCTGAATAGCAAGAATTGATCTAGAGTTAATCATGGCAATGCATCAGTGCTGGTCTTGGGGGAGGGGTTGTTTGTTTCCCTATTATCTATCTGGGCTCCAGTAAAAAAAAGCAGCTACCCAGCACAGATGGGTGTGGTTTGGTATAGGCAGGTCCCACCTCCACTGTGGGTCCTGAGGGCTGCTCCCTGAGGCCCCACCTTGGTGGTTGTGGGGGAAAAAATGGCAACCTCCTAGTCCCTTCTCAAACCAGGCATTGCAAATCACTCTTTTGGGTCCGATCTCACTGTGCCATGAGTGCAGCTGAGGTGGGCCATGTTCTTACTCCATGTGCATTAATGATACTGCTCAAAATGTAATCCTGCAAGCTGGAGCACTTCCTAGCAGGGGATCGAGTAGGGGATCTGTTCCTCCTGAAGCCAACTGCGTCCCTTGTGTACAGTCTATCTTGGAGGGAATTTCTGGGACCAAGGCACCCAGCCCAAAGAAAGCTCCACAGTTAGAGATAGGATTTCTCTCTGAAAGCACTTTGGTTAGAGATGGGATGATAGGGCCCCTCTCTGTCCCTTGTCAAGGTTTTTCTCTTCTCTAGGGACAGTTCTACGATTCCCCAGCTGCTCTTTCTCTTCCCTTTGTCCCTCTGCAGAGAGGACTCCCTCCCCTCCATGCCTCCATGTCCTGGCCCATTTTTGTCTTCCCCAGTTCACAGTCATGCACCTATGAAGCTGTCTTCTTAGTAGACACCGTCTCTTTTCCTCCTAGACTCTTGCGGTTCAGAGTCCTTTGGCTTCAGCCCTTCTTTGTTTGAGAGATGCAGGTGGGAAGTACGGAACTCCCTATTTCTCTGCCATCTTGCCCCCCACCTCTCTCTTTATCTTGTCTTGTATTTTTTAATACTTAAAAAAGGACAGGGGTGCCTGGGTGGTTCAAGCATCTGACTCTTGATTTTAGCTCAGGTCATGAAATATTTTTAAACTATACTTTCAACTTTAAGTATTGTTTGTGTTTGTGGATTCAGGCAACATCATTTTTACTGTCATAACAAAATAAATATGTTTAAATATATTTTAGTGTAACATCCAGAGAGAAAAATGCATAAATCATACACCTGACAGATTATCACCAAGTGACCCATCCATGGAACCAGCAACCAAGTCAAATAATAGAACACGAGTAGCTTGCCAGGCGCCCTCCGTGTGCTCCAGTCAACACCCCTTCCCTTCTCCTCGAGGTTGTTGTCCCTCCAGACTCCTCACACTGTTCTGTTTTGTCTGGTTTTGAGTAAGACTTTTTCAGTATGTGCTGCTTTTGCTCCACATCATGTTGTGAAGTTACCCTATGTTGCTGTAGATGACAGCAGATGTTTGTTTGCATCACTGTACAGCTTCTCAACCAGGAGCAATTTTGCTTGCCCTGGGGGGCAGTGTTGGGGACATTTTTGGTTGTCACAACCTGAGGGTGGCTATTACCGGCATGTGGCGGTAGAGGCCACGGATGCTGCTAAACATCCTATAATGCACAGAACATGCCTCTCCCACAGCTCCCAGCAAAGACTTCTCCAGCCCCGAATGTTAATAGTGCTGAGGTCGAAGGCCCTGTTCTGCAGTATTCCATGGTATTAGTATACCAAAAATACCATTCACTCTAGCAAAATTTGGGTTGTTTCTAGTTTTTATTGTTACAAAAAAAGCAGTTATGAACATGTCTTTTTTGGTGCATATGTGTCTGTGTGTCTGTCAGTTATGTACCTGTGAAAGCAATTCCGAATCACAGGGCATATGTTGGTTCAGCTTGAGTAGATGATTCCAAACTATTTTCCAAAGTGGTTGTGTCAGTTTATACTGTTACTTGCAGTGTGAGAGAGATCAGTTGCTCTGTGTGATCATCAGTGCTTAGAATTGTCAGCTCTCTACTTTTAGCTGAATGGTATAGAATGTTAACTCAGGCACTCAGTCAGCACCCCTTCCCTCCTTCCAAAGGGTAGATGCATTTCCCAAACGACTAATGTGGTTGAGCATTTTTTCATGTGTTAATTAACCATTTTGATACACTTCTGTTTCTTTTTAAAAGCTTTCTTGAGGTATAATGTATATATCTTATAATTCACCTATTTTAAGTGTACTTTTTATCATTATTAAGTGATTTTTGTAGTTTTACCAAGTTGTGGAAACCTTACCAAAGTCCAGTTTTGGAGCATTTGTGTTTGTATATAGTTAATCTCTGTTCCTGCTTCCAGTCCCAGACAACCTACTTTCTGACTCTTATAGATTTCCCTTTTTGAAATATACCACATAAACAGAGTCATATAATATATGGTCATTTGTGTATGGAATCTTTCATTTATAATGTTTTTGAGGTTCAATCATGTTGTAGCATGTATTAGTACTGTATTTATATTCCTTTTTTTTAAATCCCTGAATAGTATTTCATCGGAGACTATACCACATTTGTTTCTCTGTTCACTAATTGATGTACATTTGGGTTGTTTCCACCTTTTGGCTATTAAGAATGATGCTCCATGAACATTTGCCTGCCATTCTTTGTTTGGACATACCTTTTCATTTCTCTTAGGTAGATAGTAGGAGCATAATTGTTGGGCTGTGCCATATATTTATATTAAATTCTTTTTTTTTTTCTGAGAGAGAGAGACAGCATGAGCAGGGAAGGGCCAGAGAGAGAGGGAGACACAGAATCAGAAGCAGGCTCTAGGCTCTGAGCTAGCTGCCAGCACAGAGCCTGATGCAGGGCTCGAACCCACTAACCATGAGATCATGACCTGGGCCAAAGTCAGAGGCTTAACTGACTGAGCCACCCAAGCGCCCCTATATTTAATTCTTTAGAAACTGCCAAACTGTTTTCCAGAGTGGCTAAACCATTTTACGTTCCCATCACATCGTCAACAATACTTGTTAGTGTCTGTAGCTGAAAGAGAATAGATGGAGAAGTAGGCAAAAAAACCCAGGGGAGAGTTCGTGTCATAGTGCCAAAGGAGAAAGAATAGGATTTCAAGGGATTGGTTAACATTGTCAGATGGTGCAGAGAGGTCATGTGAAGAAAGATTCTATGTGTCAGTCCATTGCCTTTGGCAGCATAAGATCATATATGACATTAACAAAAGCAATTGACAGAAAAATACCTGCTCCCGAAGTTGAGTACCAGATCTTAGGAGGAAGGGGCATAACTTGCTTATGTTTTTCTTCTCTTCACAGAATCCAAAAGATGTATTGACCAGGTATGAGCTGCTGCTTTCTTATGGGGCCTGGATGGAATGGTAAAGATACAGGCTGAATAGACGGGAAACAGGCCTGGACTCCAAAGAACAGTCTGGGCACACCCTGGGAGTCTATGGAGGAGGAATTCTGCTGTTCACTTTTGCAAGGGGGAATGGGAGAGTGGTGGTGTGAGCTTTGGGCTTGGAACCTTCCACAGGAGGTGGGTGTCTTGGCTGCTTGAGTTGTATCCTATAAGAAGAACAACCTTCTCTACTTTTCTTAGGAGTGAGAACCAAGATGTGAACTATTCCCCTGAAGTTCTAACAGTGAAGACTGTGTGCAAGATACCCATGATGAAGGAAATGCTGAAGCGATTCCAAGGTGAGCAGGTTGGAACTCCCTAGAAATCTTTAAAATAAGAGAATAAGCAATGAGAAAAGTTTGGAAAGGAAAGAGAAAACAGAGCATGCAGCTAGCAGGAAAAATGGTAAAAACTACTTAGGAATACGTGGATATGTGCTTCATTCAAGAAGCATTTACTTAACACATACTAGAGGTTATAAGAGTGATATAGAAAGAAAAAGACCTTTCTAAGAATTTAAGCAAATTGGAGAGGCACACCCGTATCACTTACTGTAACATAGTGGGATCTACTGTTTATGGTGGTATGAATAAGATATTATGGAAGTACAGAGAAAGAGCTCTGTTGGGGTGAAGTGGGGAGGTTTTCACACTTAGGTGACATTGATCTGGGATTTCAGGGGTGAGTAGGAGTTTGCTAAATGGATAATGGAGGCATATTCATGTAAGCAGAGTGAGCAGTGTGAGCCAAGATGTGGAGGAAATGGAGGGGAGGGTATCCAGTGTGACTAAACCATAAGATGCATGTGGGGAAAGGCAGGAGCTGAGGTTGAGAAGATGATCATAGAAAAGTCTGAAGATAAATTTACTGGATCTCCAGGGAAGCGCCAAGGCATGTAGGTGTCAAAGCTACACAGGTGGTTCTCATGTGCACATCTCTGATGAAGAACCACGTGGTAGCCTAAAACTTAGCTAACTAATAAAACTAAAATAAAACAGATATTTTATATGAAGAACAGGTTTCCCAACCCTGGATGTCAGGAAGTGCAGGCCAAGGATCCCTGAAAATTGTGAAACAAATGAGGTGAGGTCTATAATGGCTCCATCCTCCAGCCTTGAAAGAGCTTTTGGGCCACTATAGGGAGGAGTAGTGGAGGTGGAACCAGATTGAGGAATGGGGATGAGTCCAGGGAGAACAAAGCAGTGAGAACTTGCAAAGTACTAGGCAGAGTACTGGCAAGGAAAGGGCTGTTGAGAGGGAGAGTCCTGATGATCGACGGAGGTGCCCCCTGAGTATTCAGCAGAGTACTGCTCAGCACGTGCTTGTGAAAAATTACCTTAGGCTGAGGAAGGCCTTTCCAAAATGATTAGAAGGAACAGTTCCTGAGGCTCCCACAGGCCCTAGACAATGCTCGTTCCTACCAGCCAGACTGGAAAACCCTTCATTCCTGGGAAAATCTTGCCTCATTTGTGGAGAGTAATTAGCCCTACACTGAGCACTGCTTTGGGCCCACCTTAAAAGTCATGAGTTTAAGACCCAAAAGGATCAAGTTATTTCCAGATAACTGCATCCCGAGACAAAGCTTGAGGTTTAAAAATGAGTACCCAACAATGTAAGTTCACAATGCTTGGCATCCAATCAAAGATTACTGAGCATGCAAAAAGGTAGGAAGGCATGACCCATAATGAGAATAATTGATGGAGACTGACCAGGATTGATCCAGGTGTTAGAATAAGCTCCAAAGGACTTTATAATACATTTATTATAACTACCCTGTAAAGAGGGATTTGGAGATGTGGAAGATTTAAAAAATCCCAGATCAAACCTCTGCAGATAAAACCACAGTGACTGAGATGAAGAATACACTGGTTGTGATTAATAGGTGAATAGATATTGCGGAGAAAAAGGCGAGTGAACTTGAAGATGAAGCAGTAGAAACTACAAAATGAAATGTTCAGGAAAAAAACTTACAAAATGAGAAGAGCACTGGTGAGCTGGGGAACAATATCATGCAGTCTTATGTGGAGTAATTGGGGTCCCTGAAAAGATGAGCGGAATGAGGATGAGATAGGAAAAGTATCTGAAGAAATAATGACCAACAATTTTCCAAATTTGATGAAGACTCTTAAGTCCACAGATCCAATAAGCTCCACTAGTCCTAAACAGAAGAAATAGGATGGAAACTACACCAAAAAATGAGTGTTAAGAGAAAATTTTCTATGCAAGAATAGAAAAAGCACATGTTACTTATAAAGGAAAAAAAAAGATGACATTGTATTTCCCTGAATTCACCAAATATTTAAGAAAGGAATCTCCAGGGGTACTTGGGAGGCTTGTTGGTTAAGCATCCAACTTCAGCTCAGGTCAAATTCTCACAAGTCCTGTATTAGACTCTGTGCTGACAGCTCAGAGCCTAGAGCCTGCTTCGGATTGTGTGTCTCCCTCTTTCTCTGCCCCTTTCTCCACTCTAGCGCTCGCTCTCTTTCTCTCTCTCAAAAATAAACATTAGATTTTTTTTAAAAAAAGAAAGAAATCTCCATTCTGTGTGAACTTGCACAAAAAACTGAAGAGAGGACAATTCCCAATTCATTCTATGAGGCCTGCATTATCATGATACCAAAATCAGACAAAAACATTACCAGAGAAAAGGTCTATAGATCAACATCCCTCATGAACACAGACAGAAGAATTCTAAAGGAAATTTTAGCAAATCGAACCTAATGATATATTGAAAGATAATGAATCATAACCAAATAGGTTTTATTCTAGAAAAGCAGGGTTGGTTTAACATTTGAAAAATCTGTAATTCACCACATTAGCGGACTGAAAAAAGGAAAACTATATGATCACCTCAGTAGATGCAGAAAAAGAATTGGTCAAAACCCAGCATCCATTTCTGATTTTAAAAAATACTCGAGAAATGGACATGGAGAGTCTGGGAGGGAAGAGAATCGGGAGGTGGGGAGGCCAGGGAGGAAGTTAGAGACACAGTTAAAGTACGAGGTGCTGAAAGTCTGAGTGAGGACAGTGGTAGTGAGAACAGAGGAGGAAAGGAACCTGGGTGGTATTTCCAGAGGTGGATTTGATAGGACTAAGTGACTAATAAGCCATCAAAGGTCAAACTAATAAGCCTCAAAGAAAGAGGAGTCAGATAACCTCAAGATTTCAGTGTCAGTTGTTTGGGTGAAGGTGTATACCTCAGAGAACACAGAAGACAAGATGTCTGCATGTGAATGGGTATTTGTCTCAAGAGGATGGAAAGGCACAGAATAGTGAGTTCCATTTTGAGTGATCTGTTAGGGGCCTGTGGAGCTGCCCAGTGAACAGCTGGAACCAGGGAAGAGTAAATTTGCTAACAATGACATCCCTGTGTCCCAGGGCAAAGAACCAGTCCATCAGCCATCTTGGTGTGGTCCTGATTCACCAGGTCAGAATTCGTTACTATTTCTCCCAACTTTATGCTGATTGTGAAGACTTGGGGTCATGAAATAATGAGCCCCCTGTTTTTAGGTCTTAATCTTTAAAAAATTTTTAACATTTATTTATTTTTGATTTTTAAATATAATTTATCGTCAAATTGGTTTCCATACAACACCCAGTGCTCATCCCAACAAGTGCCTTCCTCAATGCCCATCACCCACTTTCCCCTCTCCCCACGCACCATCAACCCTCAGTTTGTTCTAGGTATTTAAGAGTCTCTTATGGTTTGAGAGACACAGAGAGAAAGAGTGCGAGCAGGGGAGAGGCAGAGAGAGAAAGGGAGATACAGAATTTGAAGAAGGCTCCAGGCTTCAAGCTGTCAACATAGAGCCCAATGTCGGGCTTGAACTCACAAACTGTGAAATCATGAAGGTCTTAATCTTTTAGAGCAGAAGGGGAACGAAGATTTCATTTAGTTTAGGGCCACAGTGTGGCCTGTGGGGCCCAGCTGAGGATCAGTTGAGAGGCAGTGGGGAGTCCCATCCCTAACAGTTCTTGTTAAGAGAAGGATGGGGCTGAAGGTGGAAAGGAGGGGCATTTCTGGAGAAGGGTTGGTGGTAAGTTGTCACACTGTAAATCTCTGTTCTCATTTTCTCTACAGTGGCTGTAAATCTAGCTGAACACACAGCCCATCCCAAACTTGTCTTCTCCCAGGAAGGGAGATTTGTGAAAAATGGAGCATCAGCCAGTTCTTGGCCATTGTTTTCCTCAGCTTGGGGCTACGTTAGTGGATGGAGGAACCCTCCAAAGACCACACAGTCTGTGGAAAGATTTCAGCACTTACCCTGTGTTTTGGGAAAAAACGTTTTCACTTCAGGGAAGTATTACTGGGAAGTTGAGAACCGAGATAGCCTGGAGATTGCTGTGGGAGTGTGTCGGGACGGCATCATGGGGATTGTTGATAGTTCAAAAATGTCCCCCATTACGGGAATCTGGGCTATTTGTTGGAGTTCTGCTGGCTACCGGCCCCTAACAAGCTTTTCTGTAAGTCCTATCAAGCAAGAGCCTGCTCTTCACCGGGTGGGAGTTTTCCTAGATCACGAGGCGGGGGACATCTCCTTCTACAGTGCTGTGGATGGAGCGCATCTACACACTTTCTCTTGTCCTCATACCTCCAGCCTCCGGCCATTTTTTTGGTTGAGTCCATTAGCATCTTTAGTCATCCCAGCAGTGACTAGTGGGAAATGAGGCTGTTCTTCCCCTACCCAGGAATCTCTGACTCTACCCCAACCTGGGGACATGGATCCCTTGGTCCTCTTCTTTCACTCTGTACATACTGGTCCAGGTAGCACATCAGTACTGTCCATTCAGATTCCAATTTGACATCTTGTTCAGCTCCTTGCGTGCACTGTGCACAGGCATGTATGGCAGACCTCGATAGGGGCCTTTCCAGTACCCACTTGCTCCACGACCCTTCTTCTCTTCTGGTTCTTCCTCATTGAACTGTTTGCTGTGCACCCTCCCTGTGCTTCAGGAGTGGCAGCTCTCCCCAATGTGAGACAATTCTGGCCAATGAGCTGGAATGAGAAATGTTCCAAAATGCGTCTGGAGAAAAATTTTGTAGCTTTAAAAAAGAGGTATTTGAGGAGACACAGCCCCACTTCTGACGTTAGCAGATGTCTTGAAACTGAGCAGAGCGCAGTGTCAGTGGAAAGGAAGAAGGAACGTGGGCTTTGTTGGCTTTGTTGGACTGTTGGGAATTTCCTTAATCCCCAGTTTCTTGTCAGAGGAGGTTATTGCTCCCTTAATGTATAAGGCAATTCAGGTTGCATTTTCATATAGGATGGTCTTTTTTTCTGAAACTTTATAGATTTGTAGACTCTGTTTCTGCTCAGTAATGTAATTCCTCTGCTCTCCAGTAGGTATGGATACCTCCCACTTTTCCTGATCAGAAAGTTGAGGGAATCTTCCCTTACTCTGCCCAGGCTGTGCCTCTTCTTCACTCGACCACATCCTTGCCTTCAAGTGTTCAGTATGTTTCCATCTGGCAAGTTCTTACGTTGTGTATGCAAGGTATTAACGTCAAACCTAAAATGTTGGGAGACACTTGCTAAGCATTCACACCACACTTCTTGCCTCTTCAGTAATGCTCTTCTATGACTCCCACAGAAACTTGGTGTGAGATGGAAATTAAAATCCTCTTTTTACAAGTAAGAAAACAGAAAGAGTTTACCTTTGGGGTAACTCACTCAGTACTGTTTAGCTGGCAAATAGGAGTGTTGGGATTAAATCCAGATGGGTCTGAGTTAAAAGCCTGTGCCCTTTTCTGGTCTTTATAAGCTTCTGGCCTTTGTAATGCTCTCTGTAAGTATTTATTGAATGCAGATTGCACATTAGCATCATCTTTGCATCGGGCTTTTATTTTGTTATACATTTTAAATTCAGGTATATGTGTTTTCGCTCATTTTATCTTTGTTCTCTAGAGTACAAGCTCTCAGGATTGTGACAGGAACTGGGTAGTTATTTTAAAAATAATGATTGTTTCTCTCTAGTTGTAAAAGTTGTCCACTTATGGTAAAAAATTTGGAACATACAAAAAGTGTAAAGAAGCTGAAAGTTCTTGATAATCTCCCCACTTCTAACATTTTAACGTGTTTCCTCCCAGACTTCTGTAGACTTTCTGGCAGTGATTTAATAGGGCTTCTTATAAAACTTCCAGTACCTTCCCTAACCCTTCTTTCTCTCCCATGTCCCTGCCCATCCTGGCTTGTCTTCCTCTTCAGCCTGATCAACCCCCCTCATCCAATGATTTCTGCTGAATTCTCCTTAATTTTCCAAAGTACTTGCTGTTAGGAGTTGAATTGTATCCTCTAAAAAGATAGGTTGAGGTCCTACCTGTGAATATGACCTTATTTGGAAATTAAGATGAGGTCATTAGGGTGGGCCCTAACCCAATATAACTGGCACCCTAATAATAATAGTAATAATAATCTGCAGTGCGCATGGAAGTGCCACGTGAAGACACAGAGAGAAGATGGCTGCGGGAGAGATTGGTGTCATGCTGCCACAAGCCAGCTGAGGGCTGCTAGAAGCTGGAAAAGGCAAGGAAGAACCCTTCTCTAGGAGCTTTTAGAGGAGCATGGCTCTGCCAACCCCTTGATTTCAGACCTATAGCCTCCAGAACTGTGAGATGATAAACTTTTGTTATTTTAAGCTTCTGGTTTGTGGCTTGTTACGGAGCCTTAGGAAGCAAATACATGTGCCCATCAGGACTTCTCCAGTGCCTGCCTTGTTTGTTTCCAGTCCTTAGGAAACTCATCACTACCTTTCTTCCATCTTCCTCCTGAGCTGTTGAGCCAGCTTCTGCTACAAAGTCTAGCTTTCTGACTTCAAGTGGGCTCCTTGAGCTGCTTAGTGAACAACACTTATTTTTTTACCCCTTGACTTTCTCTTACATCTCTGGTGGCAGTGATTCCAGACCATTTCCTCCTCTCTCAAGGCTTCATGAGCCCTCATTCATACTAGTATAGGGGAGGGAAACTTTACCTCTACCTGTCTTAGGTTTTCAGCTGGGCCTCTTAACAAGAAGTCAGATTAACAAGAGAAAAACAGTTTATTAATACATGCAGCACACACCATTCAGGAGAAACCTAAAATGAAGAGTAACTCAAAGTGGAGGCTTAGAATTCTGGCTTACATAGTACTTTTAACAAATAATAGTACATTTGTGGAGAGATGACAGGATGAAGGAAGAATATCTTAGCCTTCCAGGTGTGGCAGTCCGTGGGAAGGTAAATGCATGTGAGGAAACTAATGGAAGAAATGCTTGTTTGCAGATTCCTCTTTGGTGTTATCTCCAGCAAAAGGAGAATGTATATCCTGTCTGCAGACAGAAAAAGGGGAGCTTTTTCTGGGTTTGCTGCTCTTAATTGCCTTCAGCTCATGCTAAAGAGGCATATTTTGGGCTGACACATTCTGGTTTCCTTCACTATTATAAAAGACCTTGCCTCTTTTACTGAGAATATTCTTCTCTTCTCTTACTCTACCTATTTTATTACCAAAATTTTTTGCCTCTTTTGTGTGTCTTGATATTGGCTCCTCTCAGGTATGGGATGGGACACAGGTATCATATTTACTAAAAATGAAATAAACTCTTATGATGCTTCTGATGTACAAACAGAACTATTACAAAAACTTGTAATAGTTTTCAGTGTTACTTAGGGATTTTTCTGAGTCTTTACTATGTTAACATGTTATGACATATTGGAAGAGGTATTTTATTACACAGGATTTCTCAAACTTATTTCACCACAGGAACTAACTGAGGGACCAGCTCAGAGACTTCCCAGAACATGGTTTGGTAACAACTATTTATCCTAAACTTTCTCCAGAAGATCTTGACTCTCTCAGATTTCAACCTAGACTTGCACTGCCCCACCCTGAAAGTTGATGGGTACGTGCATAGGTGCTATAAGCACAAATGTCTATACTGTGTGATAGTGGATAAGGCTCTGCTGAAATCTTTTCTCTTGGAGACTGGGTTTTTGTTATGTAGAGCATTCTAGGCACATATTTCAATGATGTCTATTCCTCCTCCTCCTGGCTCTGGCAGGAGGAGATCTTTCTCAACTTTTCATTCTGAGAATTTGGTGGAGTTCCTGGAGGTAAATCCATAAATATTTGCTCTCCAACCCCCAACCCTGCAGCTCCCAGAAGTTTCTCACCCTTAAGCTAGCCCACGTTCAATCTCACACTCAACCTTCATCAAAAGCATTATTTATTCCTACAAGTTTATAGCTCTGGTGGATTTTGCTTCTCCTTTGCTAAGGAGATCTTAGCTTTGCCTCTGTGGATTTGCCTGTCTATCCAGATTTTGGGGTTGCAGTTTGCCATACAACCTCAGTTCTCTGATGGGCCCAGAAAAAGCTGTTGCTTTTCAGTTTTCTCATCTTTTTCTTGTAAGGATGTGAGTTATGACTTCCTGATTCTTTACACATAGGAGCTGAAACTGCAAGTCTTTCATAATATATCATAATATTAAAATAGGCTTCTTTTGAGACCCCTGTATGGTTAATTGTGTCATCTCAACTAAAGGATGCCTAGATAGCTGGTAAAACATTACTTCTGGGTGTGTCTGTGAAGGTGTTTCCAGGAGAGATTAACATTTGAACTGATAGACTGAGTCTATCACATTTTCACCAAAGTGGGTAGACATCGTCCAATCAATGGAGAGTCCGAATAGAACAGCAGAGAGGCAAGTTTCTCCTCTGCCTGAGCTGGGACATCCATCTGCCCAGGAACTTTGGGGCTCCTGGTTCTTGGGCCTTCAGACATGGAATGGGACTTATACTATTGACCCCCTAATTCTTGAGCCTTTGGACCCCAGCTGGAACTTACACCATTAGTTCCCTTAGTTTTCAGGTCTTTGGCCTTGGATTGAATTACAGCACCAGCTTCTTCCCTCATTTTTCAGCTTGCAGACAGCAGATTGTAGGACCTCTTGGCCTCCATGATGATGTGAGGTAATGGCCAGTGATCTGTCCATTCTGTTGGTTCTGTTTTTCTGGAAGACCCCTTGTTTGTTTGTTTTTTAATCATCTAGTCTTTCCGTTCTTAACTGTTAGTCTTAAACTATTTGCCTTTAAAGTTATTGTTTCTATCCAACATGGGCCCAGCAGAATAGCTCCTGAAAAGAAGGGTGGTGAGAAGAAGGGCTATTCTATCATCAAGATAGTGACAAGAGAATACACCATCAATATTCACAAGCATCCATGGAGTGGATTTCAAGATGTGTGCCCTGTGGGCACTCAAAGAAATCTGAAAACTTGTCATGAAGGAGATGGGATACTTCAGATGTGCACATTGATACTACTGTGGGCCGAAGGAATAAGTAATGTTCTATACCATGTGCATTTGTGGTTGTCCAAACAACAAGGATGAAGATTCATCAAACAGACTCTCTACATTGGTTACCTATGTACTCGTCATCACTTTCAAAAATCTCCAGACAGTAGATGTGGATGAGAACTAACCACTGATTGTCAGATAAAGGTATAAAACTGCAAGAAAAAAAGCTATTGTTTGATACAGTTTGATGAAAATATATTGTTTTGCTAGTCCTTTTTTTATTAGTTTCCTTTTTTCTAAGTTTATTTTTTCCTTTTTCTACTTTCTCTACTTTTATTGTGTATTTTAAAAATAAAATTCATTTTATCTCCTCTACTTACTATTTATATTTCTTTCAAAAACTTTTTTAGTCATTGTCATAGGATTTACAATATACATTTTGAAAAAATCTGAATCTACCTTCAAGTCACATGTCATTTAATGTATAGTGAAAGACTTTATAATAGTAGAATTTGTTTTCCAGTCCTTGTTCTATTGTTATCATATAATTCACTTTTATGTAGGCAATAAATACCCAATACATTGTTACTTTTAATGTCTTAAACACTTATTTGCTTTAAACATCTTCTGGTATATTGAAAGTGTAAGGGGGTGTGAACTGACAACAACAACAAAAAGGTGGAAAGGAGACACAATGAAGAAACCCAGGTAACTGAAGACTCATAAAAGATTTTGGAAAAATGACTTGTATAGACTACATTCCTGCAGCCAAGAGAGGCTCTCAGGAAAGAAAATCAGCTCCTCCACAATCTGGATGTTGACAGTTTAGCCTTCTATTCTTCAGTGACCTGGCCTCTTTTCAGGGTTAAAAGAAAGAATGCAACAGATAGACAATTCTTTTTGTTTGTTTGTTTGTTTACATTTATTTTTTTTAATTTTTTAATTTTTTTACAAATAGTTTATTGTCAAGTTGGTTTCCATATAACACCCAGTGCTCATCTCCACAAGTGCCCTCCTCCATGCCCATCTCCTCCCTCCCCCCACATACCCATCAGTCCTCAGTTTGTTCTCAGCATTCAAGAGTGTTTAAGTTTATTTTGAGAGGAAGAGGAGCAGAGAGAGAAGGAGACAGAGAATCCTGAGCAGGCTCCACACTGTCAGTGCAGAGCCTGATGTGGGGCTTGATCTCATGAACCATGAGATCATGACCTGAGCCAAAATCAAGAGTCATGCACTTAACCAACTGAACCACCCAGGCACTCCAAAGATAAATAATTTTTAAATGGAAAAGATTTTCAGTCAAAAGGATCAGAGTTCTCTGAAAAAAAAACTTGAAGGTACAGTTTGCCTTTCCTTAGTTTTACCATTATCAATGTCACAGTGTAGACATATAGAATGCCTGTTGACAGGTTATCCCATTTGTGATTTCTTATTTAGCATGATATACACTTTCAGGTCTTCTTTATCCATTGTAAGAATCTCTGGCTTTTAGTTGATCTGTTTAGTCCATTTGCATTTAATGAAATTATTGACATAGTTGAGTTTAAGTGTATCAACTTGATTTAAATTTCACCTTTCTGCTTTCAATCTATTTTTTCCTGTCTTTTGCATTAATAAAATATTTTTATTTTAGCTTTTGGATCTCTTTAGAGCTATACTTCTATTAAAAACCAAGATTTTAGGGGTGCCTGGGTGGCTCAGTTGGTTGAGTGTCCAACTATAGAATTTGGCTCAGGTCATGATCCCAGAGTTATGGGATTGAGCCCTATGTGACGCTCCACACTCAGTGTGGGGCCTGCTTAAGATTCTCTCTCCCTCCCTCTGCCGCTCTCCCCTGCTTGCATGCAGTCTCTCACTCTCTAATCAATCAATCAATCAAAAGATTTTAAATTTGACATTTTGGTCAACTGTTCTTCAACAAGGGTGTCAAGAATACAGAATGGGGAAATTATAGGCTCTTTGAGAAGTGGTTTTTGGGAAATTGGATCTTTATGCCAAAAACTTGAAATGGTTTAAAGAATTAAATACAAAACCTGAGACTGTAAAACCTCTAGAAGAAAACAGAAAAATCATGATGTTGGCCTTGGCAGTCATTTCTTATATATGACACCAAAAGCATAGGCATCAAAAGCAAAAATAAACAAATGGTATTACATCAAATTAAAACATTGTCCAGCAAAGTAAATGATCAACACAATGAAAAGGTAACCTATGGAATTGGAGAAAATACTTGCAAACCATGATCTGATAGAGGGTTAATAACCAGAATACCAAAAGTCAAATAACCCTATTTTTCAAAAAGAGCAAAGGGTCTGGATAGACATTTCTACAGAGAAGACATACAAATGGCCAACAGGTACATGAAAAAGTGCTCAACATGACTTATCATTGGGGAAATGCAAATCAAGTCTGCAACGAGATGTAACATCACATTTATTTGGATGGCTATTATCAAGAAACCAAAAGATGGGAAGCAGTATGGAGGTTCCTCAAAAATTTTAAAATAGAACTATATATGAGCTAGAAATCCACTTCTAACTATATATCCCAAACACTTGAAATCAATATCCAAAAGAAGAATCTTTGAGATCTTAATAAACTCGTGTTTCTTGCAGCACTATTCACAATACTCAAGGCATGGGAACAAAACTAAATGTCCATCAGACCATAAAAATGATGAATAGATAAAGAAAATGGTATGTACTTGCAATGAAATATTATTTGTCTTTAAGTCCTGCCACTTTTGACCACATGGATGAATCTGGAGGACATTAGTTAAGAGAAATAAGCCAGAATCAAAAGGGCAAATGCTACATGATACCACTTAAACAATTAAGTAATCTAAACTATTCAGACTCATAGAAGCAGAGATTAGAGTGATGGTTGCAAAGTACTGGGGGAGGGAGGAGGTAGAAATGGGTATTAGTTAAAGGGTATAAAGTTTCAGTTATACAAGAATAAGTCCTAGAGATATGCTGTACAGCATAGATACTATAGTTAACACTACAGTATTATATACTTAAAATTTTGATAAGAGTGAGATCTTATGTTAAGTGTTCTTATCACAAAACAATAAGGCAGGAAGAAAATTTGGAGGTGATGGATATGTTATGGCATAGATTATAGTGATGGTTTCATGTATGTACATTTATCTCCAAACTCTTCAAGTTTTGTTCTTTAAATATGTATAGCTTTTTGTATGCCAATCACACTTCAATAAAGTGGTTTAAACAAAACAAATACCTACTTATTTCTCTGATTTATCTTTTGATATACATTATTTAGAGTTATGCTATTTAGTTAACAAATATTTGAAATTTTTATGGAGAATTTGTTATGATTTCTAATTCTATTGTGACCTGAAAAATACTTTGTACAAATTAAATTCTTTTAAAATTTACTGGTGCTTGGCGTGCCTGTGCGGCTCCGTCAATTCAGCATCTGACTCTTGATTTCTGCTCAGGTCATGATCTCATACTTTGTGAGTTTAAGTCCCACGTTGGGCTTGTGTGGAGCCTGCTTGGGTTTCTCTCTCTCTCCCTCTGTCTCTGCCCCTCTTCCCCCTCAAAATAAATAAATAAACTTAAAAAAATTTACTGATGCTTTTATTATGCCCAGAATATAGTCTATCTTGATAAATGTTCCATATGCACTTGAATGATATGTATTAGTCTTTTGTTGAATGAGATGTTTTACAAGTGTCAGTTGGGTCTATTTAGCTAATAGTGTTTTATTATTTCCTCAAATATTCATTCATTTTATCTTTAATTTTAATTTTAATTTATTTTTATTCTTGAGAGAGAGAGAGCGCATGAGCGGGGTAGGGACAGAGAGAAAGAGAGAGAGAGAGAGAGAGATATTGAGAATCCCAAGCAGGCTCTGCATCAGTGCAGAGCCTGACATGGGGTCCAAACCCACGAACCATGAGATCATGACTTGAGCTGAAATCAACAGTAGGATACTTAACTGACTGAGTCACCCAGGTGCCCTACCTGAAATATTTTTTTCTATTCCTACTGTCTCTGCTTTTTCAGGACTCCAATTATATGTATATTAGGCTGTTTGAGGTTGTCCTAAAGATCACAGATGCTGTGTTCATTATTTTTTAGACTTTTTTTCTATCTCGTTTCATTCTGAATAGTTTTTATTGCTATGTTTTCATATATATATAACATATATAAATATATGTATATAACATATATAAAACATATATGTTTTTTTGCAATGTCCAATTTGCTGCTAATCACTCTAGAGTGTTTTTCATTATAGACACTGTAGTTTTCAACAAAAGAAACATGTATATGTGTTTGTGTTTTATCTTTTTTGTCTCTACTAATATGCCTAATATTTCCTTTAGCATTTTGAACAGATGGAATACAGTTGTAATAAGTGCAGTGTCTTTGCTAATTCTGTCTGATCTAAACAACATAATAAGATATCTCAAATTGGTATATTGAGTATCAGTTCTGGGTTGGTTTCAAGTCACAGATTTTTTCTACTCATGATGGATAATATTTTTCTATTTCTTTGTATGCTTGGTAATTTTTTTTCTTTTTAAAAATAGTTTATTGTCAAGTTGGTTTCCATATAACACCCAGTGCTCATCTCAACAAGTGCCCTCCTCCATGCCCATCACCCTCTTCCCCTGTCCCCCACCCCTATCAGCCCTCAGTTTGTTCTCAGCACTCAAGAGTTTCTTGTGGTCTGCCTCCCTCCCTCTCCCCCACTATTTTTCCCCTTTTCTCCCCCATGGTGCTCCATTAAGTTCTTCCTAATCCTCCTATACGTGCAAACATATGGTATCTATCCTTCTCTACCTGACTTATTTCGCTCAGCATAACACCCTCAAGTTCCATCCATGTTGCTACACATGGCCAGATTTCATTCTTTCTCATTTCCATGGAGTATTCCATTGTATAGGTGAACCACATCTTGACCCATTCATCAGTTGATGGACACTTAGACTCTTATCATGTTTTGGCTATTGTTGAGAGTGCTGCTATGAACATTGGGGTACATGTGCCCCTGTGCATCAGCACTCCTGTATCCCTTGGGTAAAGTCCTAGCAGTGCTATTGCTGGGTCATAGGGGAGTTCTATTGTTAATTTTTTGAGGAAACTCCACACTGTTTTCCAGAGGGGTTGTACCAGTTTATGTTTCCATGCTTGGTAATTTTTTATTGGATGGTAGACATTATGAATTTTACCTTGTCATGTTCTGGATATTTTTATATTTCTAAAAATTTTTGAGCTTTGTTC